ACCAATTTATCAGCTGTTCATGAAACTTGATAATTATTACTGGATTTCATGCGATAATTTTTATTGCCGAAACCCGAAAAGAAAAAAGAAAATCTTGTCTATTATTTTTTAAATATTTATTTATAATTTGGTAAAGCTCTAAAAAACTTTTGGAATCAAACATGTTTTGGTATGTGTTGATTCCTACTTATCCATTTTATATTCCCTCTTATCGGCTTGGAAATAATGCTTCAGGCGAGAATTTAAGGCTGAGAGAGAACTTGATGAACTAAAGACAACCACAATTTTTCGCAGGATATTTTCAAGTTTATTGATAACTCGTCCACCCAAGTAAATGTTTGATCTTTGGACCGAAGACCGTCGCGGTGGAGTTTTCGAATGATGTAACCACCCAGATGCTCAATCGCGTCTTCATAGTATTGGTCCATATCATCATCCATTTCATCTTCGTCAACTGCCGTAATGCAGCTGTCCGCTTCGGAAAGGTATCCCCTAATTGTGGATGATGGGATACTGTGAATCCCTAGCTATTCGGTGTCGTCCATTGTCACGTTGCCACTTCGTCTCAAAAACTCCGTACTTCGTGCTGTAATGTAAACAAAGGTAGAAAATAACGATGATACATGTTTTAATAATAATTGAAACTGACCAAGCAAATATTTCCGCAGCCTGTATTTAAATTGCATTGGGCTGGGCTTGTCATGAAGGCCACCTTTCGCTCTCATTGCACCAAAGAAGTGCTCCACTACATCTTGGTTGAGGCGGTAAGTGAGGATATACCTCATTCCATACCTCTCTTGGACATACTGGAACAAACCTTTTAAGGATGCATTGGTCATCAGAATACCTTTTTGGCCAGGCAAAAGAGTGTAGTGAAACCGCGCCCTCGCATTCAGTGCTAACCAATTCATGGACTCTAAAATGGCGTTTTGCGGCACCAAGTCCAGCGCATATGGTTTCCTTGCCGGATTGCACAGCGGAGTTCTCAGCTTGCAGTTGAGAAGGTCGAACCAGTTGTCGATGACTTCAATAAAGTCTGCTGTCTCGAGAGGATTTGTCAGCTGCGAACCCATTGCATAGCAACGTCTGATTGCACTAGCAGTGCTATGCGATAGCAATTGTGCCGCAAGTCTCACTTTTTGTCGACCCTCGCGCCGGACAGTGAGGTGCTGCTCCTTCAATTTATGGGTGATGGACAAATCGGACATTGACGTACATCTCATAACTTGGTCTATCGTTTCTGCGCATATTTGTTTGTTCTGGAAAACATACCCACTGTCCAGGAAATGGTTTCGCAGTAATTTTAAAAGGTGAGGCGCGTCTGCAAAGACAAAAACTCTGCCACCGTCACCGCTTGGACTCGAAAACCATGTCTTTTCTGTATAAATAAGAGTAAAAAAATAACTGTTAATTACTACAATTAATGAAAGCACCTAATTGTTTTAATTGCTTATAGTAATGGAAATTTAACTGCTCTTAATTCTATAATTACCCGTGGACACTTCTAATTCCCTCCAAAGAGCTCGGTTGGCACTTCCCATATCGGATACGATGCCAACGACGGGATAGCCCGCATTTTCTAACTGGGAAATCAGGCCTTCCAGAATGCTTTTTGTCATTTTACAGTCGAAAGCGTAAAAAACGGGTTGTTTCCAAGATTGCTTGAGTCCTCTTGCTATAGCCATTTGCACATATCTTGCAGGCTTCCTCACAGTGTCCGTAAGTGGGTCGTGCTCAAATGATGGGGCAACTGCTATCTCGTCGAAGACAATGGGGCACACTCTGTCGACCAACTCCATATTTGTGCTTGCCGCGTGCATTTCGTTTAAAACGAATTTTAAAATGCCGTCGTGAAACTTCAGTCGCTGAAGCCATCTCGACAAAGTGGACGCCGAGGGCAACGGTAAACCCTTACGGAGCAAATGGTTGTATGCCCTAGGACCTGCTGCATGTAATGGTATTGCCCACGCAATATCCTCGTATACCCAATGTGTATTTTTAGCAGGGTTTCTTAATTTACGTACTTGATTTTCTGTGAAATTCAAGTTTATACCACTTCTAAAAGCTTTCAACTCGTTGGCTTCCTTCAGCTGCGCAGCCACCTGCGCTTTTAGCATTGTAATTTGCGCTTTTAAATCTAAATTTTCAAGTTACATCGTAACAGTGAGGTCAATACTATAAAAACGTAAATATGTTGGCATTAATATTTGTTTATATGTATGCATTTTTTGTTGAAGTTATGTTATATTATAGTTAATGTACTTTGCCACTTTATA